ATCGCGCTAGCTTTCGGATTATGGTATATAAACCGGCTACGGGTGGGTGAAAAAATTTAGTCATTTTCGGAATTTGAAGCCGTTTGTTTCAACAAAATAGAGGAGCCACTTTCGGCATGCGCTCTTATGATATGCGTATTTAGTACACAATTTACGTTACAATGTAAAATTTCAGACATAAAAGCGCATATGATAACGCGTTCTGAATACGGACTAGAAATTATATATATTTAAAAAATGTTTTGTTTATGATTTATAGATTAGAATTCACTAATTAACTTATTTGAATTTTCAATTTCGTTTATTAAAATTCAACAACTTTTATTTACATATGCAGGAGATGCGAAATTAAAATTTTTTCGTTCGAGGTTCCATTAAACTATCTCTCCTATAGAGTAGTCGGTACGCTTCTATCCTGAGAATTTAGTACAGAGACGAACCACATCGTATCTACTTTCGACGATACGATTTTGGCCGTGGTCCGAATCATGCTGACAACGCTCATGAGCCTTGTTTGTCTTCGTTTAACATTTGACAAACAACAAGGATGAAATGATTTTTAAGCGTTGTGAGCGTGTATCGGACCGCGGCCGAGGTCAGAAAATGTATGTAGTCACGTAGTTCCCAAACTGAAAACGGATGTCCTGGCGGTAGTGTACGGGTGATTTCGACGGTAATAGAAAAAAGCCGGCATGCCCTCTCTCAGGTTTCTAGTACCGTAAAAACTGATTTTTTTTAAGTACTTATTGTGCATATTTTACATCTACTTTTGATTGTACGTAGTATCGGTAGTATCGTTACACTTTCCGATTCCAAAGTTTGACGTGGAAAGGAAAGTGCGGACATAACCTACGATATGCTTTCCAAAATGAGCAAATACAGACGGGAAGAATCCTCGAGTGAGGATACAGACAGTGAAGAAGAACGTCGCAAGAAGGATATCAAGGAAAGAGATAGCTTTGCTAGTCGTCTCAGAGCCAAAGATGAAAGTAAAAGACGTAATGTTGTTACGCTCCCTGGATCCGGCGCTGGTAAGTTGCCGAAAGAATATGAATGTTTAACATTTTTGAAAGATGTTACTTATTGCTTGTTATTATCTGCAGCCGAAGCAGCAAAGAGACTTAAAATTATAGAGACTGATACGAAAGATAAACTGATACCAAAATTAAGAATCGAGTCTCGTAGGAAATACCTGGAGAAACGTAAAGAGGACAAAGTTGCAGAACTAGAAGCCGATATTCTTGATGACGAATATCTGTTTGATGAAAACATGTAATTTTATGAATGAGCTATGTTTATAATTAATATCTTTAAAATGTAATTATTGTTCTAATAAGTTATTTTAAATTTTATAGTTTAACAGAAAAAGAAAAACATGAAAGAGCTCATAAGAAACAGTTGCTACACTTGGCAAAGGAGCATGAGAAGGCAAGGGAACTCGAGCGTATGCAACGTTATCATATGCCTCTTGAGAAGGGTAAAACGGAGCCAGAACCTGATACAATGGAAAAGGAACCACCGCAATCTGAACAAAGTAAATGGGAATCAGATCAGATGTCGTCAGCTGTTTTTCGTTTTGGTGCTAAAGATAGGAAAGGTATATACTAAATTAAAGATAAGTAATTGTTTATATGATCTGTCTTTCTATTAAGTAAGCTTACAATCTTCTATTATAGCTCAACAAGAATATAATCTTCTCATGGAGGATGAGATGATAGAGTTTGTTCAAGTGCTCCATATGCCTGGATACAAGGATAAGAAACGGGTAGAAAGTCCACCTGCACATGTTAAAAGTTTACAAACGATACAGGAGACAAAGAAAAGTTTGCCTATTTATCCTTTCAGAAAGGATTTGATACATGCTATCAAAGATCATCAGGTAAGTAGAAAGTAGATAAAATATTTAGCAACAATGTTACAGGATGCATTATGTATTTGTATTTCAGGTTTTAATAATAGAAGGTGAAACAGGATCAGGTAAGACAACACAGATTCCACAATATTTGTATGAATCTGGATTTGCAGACGACGGTAAGATTATTGGATGCACTCAGCCACGGCGAGTAGCTGCTATGTCAGTGGCTGCGAGGGTAGCTCACGAAATGGCCGTTAAGTTGGGTAATGAAGTTGGCTATGCTATTCGTTTTGAAGATTGCACATCACAACGTACCCGTATCAAATATATGACTGACGGTACATTACACCGAGAGTTCCTCAGTGAACCCGATTTAGCGTCGTACAGGTATGTCTATGTGTATACTGTTAATAGAATAATTTAGAAGAAAACAAGGGAGTAGAAATAAAAGGATCAATAATAATCTTTAACATACTTGGAGATTGTTAGTACTATTTAGACTTTAAATATTAATACATTGTTATAATAATAGATTTTTTTATCGCACATTTTAGCGTAATGATAATCGATGAAGCGCACGAACGTACTTTGCACACTGACATTTTATTTGGATTGGTGAAAGATATCGCGAGGTTTCGTCCTAATTTGAAGCTGTTGGTATCATCGGCTACATTGGATGCTACAAAATTCAGTGAATTCTTTGACGATGCTCCTATATTCAGAATACCCGGACGTCGTTTTCCTGTCGACATTTATTACACAAAAGCGCCGGAATCAGATTATATTGAAGCATGTGTAGTTTCGATTATTCAGATTCACGTAACGCAACCGTCGGGTGATATATTGGTATTTCTGACTGGTAAGTGTTAAGACCGTAGCACAGACTTTTGCATAATGCATAACACATAGTGTATAAGCGAATCAACCAATGAAAGGAGAGAATTCTTCCTCTCCTTTCATTTCAGGGAAAAGAAGAATTTTGATTGGTTTATTCTCTCATGCACTATGCACTATGCTTTATGCAAAAGTCTGTGCTGCAGCTATTAAGATTATTCAAAATGCTGTTACTTGGCATAACGAAATATATTTCTATATAAAGGGCAGGAGGAAATCGAGACGTGTCAGGAAATGTTACAAGAGAGAGTGAGAAGACTAGGGAGCAAATTGGCAGAACTTTTAATTTTACCTGTTTATGCGAATCTACCAAGCGATATGCAGATAAAAATATTTCAACCAACTCCACCTGGCGCGAGAAAGGTAATATTTTTCTTAAACAAAAAAAAAGTTTTTTAGATAATTTTTCGAAATATCTTTTAGACTAAATTTAAATCTTTATTTATTTTTAAGGTTGTACTGGCGACTAATATAGCGGAGACTTCATTAACTATAGACAATATAGTATACGTGATAGATCCTGGTTATGCGAAGCAGAATAATTTCAATCCACGCACCGGCATGGAGAGTTTAATAGTCGTGCCGATCAGTAAAGCGTCCGCGAATCAGAGAGCAGGACGCGCCGGAAGAGTGGCACCTGGAAAGTGCTTTCGTTTGTATACAGCTTGGGCTTATCAGCATGAGCTTGAAGATAACACCGTGCCTGAAATACAACGGATTAATTTGGGTAAGAATCAATGATGTATCTTGCTAAAATTTTAAGTTATATTCGTTTAAATTTAATTTGTATGAAAATATTTCGATGATGTTTGCAGGTAATGCAGTGCTTACTTTGAAAGCTCTCGGGATAGATGATTTGATGCATTTTGATTTCTTGGATCCACCACCACCCGAAACGCTGATCTTGGCGATGGAACAGTTGTACGCACTAGGTGCGCTGAATCATCGTGGAGAGCTAACAAAACTTGGACGTAGAATGGCCGAGTTTCCATTGGATCCAATGATGGCAAAGATGCTGTTAGCTAGCGAGAAGTATCGCTGCTCGGAAGAGGTGGCTACCATCGCCGCCATGCTTTCGGTGAATGGTGCTATCTTTTATAGACCGAAGGATAAAATTATACACGCGGATGCTGCACGCAAGAATTTCCATGTACCTGGCGGTGATCATCTGACTCTCCTTAATGTATACAATCAATGGGCACAGAGCGATTTTAGTACACATTGGTGTTACGAAAATTTCATACAGCACAGGTATGTCAATATGCACAATGTTAACAAAGTTTTACAAAATATATTTCTCACGATTTATCTTTCAGATCCATGAAACGGGCGAGAGATGTTAGAGAACAGCTAGTAGGTTTGATGCAGCGTGTCGAGATGGAATTAGTCTCGGGAATTACAGAAACAATTAATATTAGAAAGGTACGTTAATATCATAATGTGTTGATATTATGGATTTTTTCATGAAATAATGGAAAAATGTTTTGTTTAGGCTATTACAGCTGGTTATTTCTATCACGTGGCACGTTTATCGAAGGGAGGTTGTTACAAAACTGCAAAGCATAATCAACAAGTCGCTATACATCCAAATAGTTCCCTGTTCCAAGATCTTCCGCGTTGGCTTCTTTATCACGAACTTGTCCTCACTACCAAGGAATTTATGCGTCAGGTATATGCCATAATATAAAATATAAACATAAAATAATAATCTAAATTTAATTTTGTAAGTTTATAAAAGATTGTATCTTTGTGATTCAAACATATGTATTGTGTAGGTGACAGAAATTGAAAGCAAATGGTTGCTCGAAGTGGCACCCCATTATTATAAGCCTAAAGAAGTAGAAGATTCAACGAACAAAAAGATGCCGAAAGTTGCAGGCAGATCACGACCAGATGGAACGAATTAAAAGTAATTCTGTACTATCTCTCAACTGTGATATTAAATTATATTATTTGTACATATGTTTTTGTACGATGTGTAAATACATAAAGACTTACCAATGAATGGTAATTCGTCTGAATTCAATTTTTTGTATCATGTAGTGAAACTTCTTTCATCTTCTGAAAGACATAAATGCAACAAAAACGTTAAGCCTAACACATTGATTAATAATTTCTTCATACATACATCACTAACTAATCAAGGTAATCTTTATATACATATATATACTTTAAAAAATATCCCATTATTATTTCGTTCTTAATTACGTCATTTTTTGATATAGATATTTTTTTATTTTCTCATTCAATTTATATTTCCTATTTTCATAAGGCAACTTCAAAATTTAATTTTATAAAATAAATCTGTAAACTTTTAAAATATAAACCTGTTTTCAAATAATATATGTACGATCAAAACTAAATAACAATTATATACTTTAATTACTTTTTGCAATTTTTATATAATAATTTGTATATTGTTAAAGAATCTGTTTGTGAGAGAAATCATTTAGATTTGCAATTTTATACATAATAATAAGACGAAATGTGCGACGTGATGAGTAAATGGAACACATTAATATCCCAAGGATTGCATTTCTCAGTTTTAGTTGATGTACGTATTTAGACTATTATGCGATGGGCACAGGATTATATACCGTTCTTTATTTTGAACCTTATAATCGCGTTGATGGATATTTCATATAGTAATCTAAATGTTGCATAGCTCATTAACTTGATTGTAATGCACAATTTTGTTTGAAATACCGTCATGAAACGAGATATAATATTTCATTAATGCATCATATATTACTGGAATGTGTTTCTAGAAATACGTAAATCTTAAACATAACATCTTGCAAATAGCGTAAATGTCTAAAAAATTTTCATAAAAAGGATATCTAAAGTAATAGTTCTACGACTTATATTTTATATTTAAATGTGATTGTCTGATTATGATACATACATATGTATACCTCATTTGCAAGGATGGCAAGTAATGCGTTATTTGCCATCCCTGCTCATTTGTCTAATGAAAATATAAATATATAATGTCTCTGAAAATTTGGGGAGAGGCGAAATGTAAGATATAAATGTGCGTTTCAATTCTTATGTGATATTATATTTAATTTTTTGTATAGGAGTTGAAAAAAAAATGCTTCACGAGTTACAGTCGGTGATGGAAAAAATTGAGTAAGTGGATAATGGAAATAATGGAATGAAAAATATGTGAAGAAACAAAATTACTTCTGCGACAATTCATGTAAATAGAACCATGGAAATCTTCAATTTAAAATATCGATATCGCTGATGTTGCAAACACGAAAAGCAAGTTCAGGCAAGTTTCTCCAAACTTTTCCGTGATTTATTTCATTTTATGATTGCAAAGACAAATACACATGAAGCATCGTTGTAAATACATGTCTCGTCCGCGCTCTTTTCTCATCTCTCATCCTTTTCTATTGCTTTTCTTCCTTTTTTTCTCTCTTTTCTCTCGATGCTTCCATAAGATTTCAACAATACCTGACATTTATATCAACAAGTTTTCATCTGGATGATTACGTGGTCTTATAGACTTAATTCGCTGGATAATATTTATCTTGCCGACTACCATCCGTTTCATTTTGTTGCTTCTCCGCGCTCGGCTCTCGTCTAAAACACGCTCGTAATTTCATTAATGTTTTCCCATATCTCTTACACGAGGCAATATTTGCAGGAACGCAAACGATCGTTGATGCGATTGTTTGTCGATTTACAAGCATTACGTGATTACGTCTATCCGATATCTCGTTATCCACTGAACATTTTGCTGCGTATATCGTCGAAGCTATTTCGCATTTCACAAATGCAAATTGCTTCTGATCAATTTTGTTATGACACTTTGACAGAACGTTATTAATGAGTGTTAACCACATCAAACATTGTTCGGTGTACCGAGCGACGCTATCAATGCTTTAACATTATTAGGGCTTGTTGTCCTTTGACTGATATTTAGATCTGCAAAATTCAACTTTTGTCAGACAAAAGTGTAGGGTACTCTTTTATAATCTTTCGCGATAAATTTAATTCTTGCAATAAAAATATTCGTAACATAAACTTTTTCTTGTTTCTTGAGCTACCGCGATGCCGATGATTTTCCAACTTCCCTGGAAATTGCTGAAAATGTTCGGCAGACAACGTCTCACTTTTTTGCTTGGAGACTTACATAAAAAATAAATGTGAAGAAAATGTTATATTTTATTAGTCATGTCGTGTGAGTAAAACGACGACCAGTGATATAATTAGATAGCGCAAGCGTATCTGATATTGCCGTCATTTCAGCAACAATTATCGTCAGAAATGAAAAAAATTTATCCACTTTCAATTTAAGCAGTCTGAACTGATACAAAAAGTAATATTTATTAGTTAGTAATTCTTCTTTTTTTTTTAATTCTACATTTTACTTCAGTAAATATTATTTAGCTCATAATAATAATAATAAGCAGTTAGCAAAAGAAAGTTATCATGAATACGAATAAAAAGTAAATTCAAAAGTGTATACTTGAAAATTAGATGGAATAAAATCTTGCCATTTCTGACGAAGAGAAAGCTATTGTCGCCGTTTATCACAATCTGCCTAATACATTATAATTAGTCTAGAACTATGTTTACTTCTAAACGAGCACCTAGTGGCTCATAAGTTGACGTAAAAACGAAATGAATGCATGTGCACTTGTATTCGACATCTCGAAGTAGACATTACAAACGAAAAGTGTTACTTTTCAATTCTTATTCATTTAATATGCGAACGCAGATTCCGATCAGTCGTTGCTCTGTAAATTAAACATCCGCCATATTATGTAGTATTATTATAGTATGTACTGGATGTGTTACCCTACTACTACATAAATTCAAAGGCTTACGTTCGTCTATAAGACGCAGAATTGAATGGCAAGGCTAAAGTTACATTTCCAGATATCATATAATTTTGTCTTTAGACAGAGGTAATTTGTGAAATCATTTTTTGATTCTAACATTGCATCCACGATATAAGCGCAATATTTTACTGCGACGTCGTGTTTCTCTTCTTCATATTATATTTATTATAATCGTCTCTCGTTTATAATTATTATCTATTTTACAGTAAGCGTAATTCGTGAAAATAAATCTGTAATGCACACACACGCACACGTTGTTAAAGGGAATGTTGCGACTTTTCTATTCAATTCTGTTGCTCGTGTTGGATGCCTCTTATTTAGTTTTTTTATTAAAAAACTCCGTATGAGAAAAATTGCGTGTAAGCAAATCTTCGTAAGGCGGCGAGAAAATTTTTGCACTTGAGAAATTTCTCAAAGAGTACAGCCTTGTCCAAATTAATGTGTATGGATAAGAGGTAATTTTTTAATTTATATACATTTATTACATAAAAATGACATACAGTGTTTATTACAATATTTTTGGAGGACATATTAATTAATAAAAAAATACATTAATAAACCATGTAAATTCTTTTTATGTAATAAATGTATATTAATCTAAAAATTATTTCTTGTTCACACATTAATTTGTATAAGACTGTACTTTTAACTTTGAATCAAGTTGAAAAGCGCAAAGATGTACTTAGCACGAGTTTGAAGTTACGTCTTTATTCAAAGGTAGAATTTTATACACGATCGCGACACACACACACACACACACATACACACATCTGTGGGAATGCATCCTGCCACCCATTCGTAATGTATTCATACTGTCGCGATTTCAATTAATGTACACTCAGACTTGTCAGTACGTACTTTGGAGGCAAGCCAAGATTGAAAACTTTTATACATACCTATTTTAACAATAATGCTCGGAAGTATGATCGCTAAACACTATCGCGCGCTTATACACAGTACTGTACAATTATAATTCGGCAAAAGCACTCCTCGCGATTTTCTTTTCACATTATCAGAGCATATCTTAAAGAATTTTTTGGACGACAAAATACGAGACGCATGTATCTCGTTCTCACTTCAATTATGTCAACTATTTATACATTACGATTAAGTACTACGAGCACCATCCATGTTTTCGTCCACATTTCCCTCGTTTAAATAGAATATTAGAGATTGTGAATTTTAAGCATCTATATTACTTAGATACCCTGGCCCTCTGCTTATCCACATTTTTATCCTATATAATTAAAAAAATCTATAATTGTAGCTTAAACTTACGTTTTTTGAGCGACAAGAATTTTTACTAATTGTAAAAGTTATATGTGTGCCGGCCAGTTTACGAATTAAAATGTGCTCTGACTTCGATTCTGGCGAATTAAATTTATAAATTGAAATATCTATATGTTTAATACAATGAAATATTTTCGCCCGCTTAAACAAAATCGCGAGTAATGTTGTATCCTTGTCGTTCGTTTGATTCTTCGGTGATTTAGAGAAGCGTTTCGCAAAAATATCTATCTAAGATAGATTCGTTCTCGTTGTTGTCGACTACAACATTGAATGTAATTAACGCCAATCGCGAGCGGAATTTCAGTTTTCGAGAACGAGTTATACTCATTAATAATATCTACGAGAGAAACGGCGCGGGCTTGATTATTTTGAACAGCTGCAAGGAGAAAAAATGGTATTGTGTTGGACACTGTCCATCATGTCTAGATGCTGATTGAATTGATTTTGGTACAAGGATTTGAACAATACATCCTAAAATTGATGACAGTATTACATCATTAATAAAAACATAGAGAATGCATTAACAAGATAAGGTAATAATTTCACCGGTAAATGAGACATACTTGTTAAATTTCTTTGAGAATCGTTTGATAAAATATTTAAAAATAAATATAATATTGTTGATTTCTCTCTCAATATTCTCGCATCTAAAATATGCAGAAAACCGCGCGAGTATTCATTTAATATAACGATACTTAGAGTTGGGCATCCAGATATTACACAACACCGAGGAAACCGCTGGGTAGCAAGCAAGTGCATATATATACAAAAGTTTCACGTATCCTCTTTATCCGGCCGCGCGCACGGAGCAAAGGAATTAAATCCACTGTCAGCGAAGTCCCCGCGTACCACCGCACAGCATCCTTTTGAATGCCTGCCGAAATTCCGGCGAGAACACAGTGTAAATTACGGGGTTGAGGGTGCTGTTGAAGTATCCGAGCCATAGGAACACACTGGACACGACTTCGGGTGGCTTGCAAGTCTGGCATGTGGCTTGCAGCAGAGCGGTGAAAAAGAACGGTAGCCAGCAGGCGACGAAGGCACCGGTGATGATCGCCAGGGTCTTCGCTGCCTTACGCTCGCGCTTCGACTCGATCGTCTCGCGTGTGCGCTTCGTGCACTTGACTACCGGCTGCTGGCTCGTGCTGGTCGGATTTGTCAACGTTGTCGTGGTGGTGGTGGTCGTCGTCGTCGAGATCGCCGTCGGTGTTACCGTCGTCGACGGTGTGGCATTCGCGCCGTTGTATGACGACGACTTCTCCGGCGAGATGGACGAGTGGTCTGGCGTGGTTCTAGTGATGGTGAACGCCGTCGACTCCTCGCGTGGCCTATAATCAGGTAAATCATAATTATGTTGGTCGAGAAAGAGAGAGAGAGAGAGAGAGAGAGAGAGAGAGAGAGAGAGGGGGGGGGGGGGAGAGAGAGAGAGAGAGAGAGAGAGAGAGAGAGAGAGAGAGAGAGAGAGAGAGAGAGAGAGAGAGAGAGAGGGAGGGAGAGAGAGAGAGAGAGAGAGAGGGAGGAGGGGGGGGGGAAGAGAGAAGCTCATCGTCGTCAATTCGTTATCGCGTGAATAACGACGTTATCGGCGATATTAAGAATCTTTATGAAAGAAAAGATGGCGAAGAAGCGATGGAAGGATAGCTGTATATATGAAGAGTTGTATATTCATTTCTTTCATAAATATGTATTTGGATACGGCATTTCTCTGATAATTGCTGAAGATACATTAATTTACTGTTAGCTATAGAATACGAATTAATAATAGAACTAATTATGTTAATAATTATTAAAATTGATATGAAATAATTAGAGAAGAAATAATATGTTGTGCAAAGTGATAATTCGTGAGTTTACGTGAATTTTTGATGAATTTTGAAGCAAGATGAATAAATAGAAAAATTATTCTCCGTTTAATAGAAGTCTAAAAAAATGATAGAAAGATGTAAGATTATTCGTACTTATTCGAAGATAAACAATTACAACAGTGTTGTTTCGGAGCGATGTTAAGCAAATCGTTATACAATAATATTAATGATAATTTAGTAAAGAATTATTTATGGCAGAGATTAATATTTGTAATATCAAACTTATTTTGAAATTTAAAAATAAACGATTTATTTTAAAAGCGATAGAGCTCAGAAGATATATAACTATTAAGCAGTGATAATGTTCTTTTTATGATAAAACGATCAACAGGTAAAATCATACCTTTGTTTTCGTAGTAAAGGCCTGCACTGGTCATTGAGATAAAAATGCTTAGAGCATGCTAAGCCACTTGAGATAAAATACTGCGTGCTATAAAAATATTTATTTACAAGTTAAATTATGAACCCCATAAAGAATGCGTTCTTGGCAAGATATTAGGGGAGCAAACTAAATCTTGTGAAGGATTTACGCCATTTCTCAGCAGCTCGACTGTGAGATTTATTCTACGTGGCTTAGCGCATTGTTATCCCTCGAGCTCTTCAAGTTTATTGCAATTACGAAAGGTGACATCTTCGATTACACGTTTCAGATTTAGGTAGGGATTCTGACATCGTGACATCAGGAAAGGAACAAAAAAGGCTACAACCTTCTTGTGACGAGCCTGAGGATACCCCTTCGTTCACGCGGTGGCTGAAGAATAGTGCCAGGCCTCTTCCTAATCCTTTTTCGCGCCGCTTGGAATATCCTCCAATACAGGAATAAAATAACTAGCAGTGGAACATAAAACGTCGCGCAAGTTGCGAAAATCTGTAAAATAATATACATTTTTTAACTGATGATTAATTTAATTTATAACATGATTTTAGCTTCAGTTTATGATTGCGTTTCAAGTCCGATCATAATCGACGCACAGTTTATATATAATCGGAAGATGTATTTAAAATTTAATTTGATTTATTTATACAGTGTTTAGTTTATTATATTTTTTAAAAATAACATACGTTATAAATATATCATACACTTCCACACTAAAAAATTATAAGTTAGCTCTAGGTGACATTCATATATATCGCTATAATGAAAAATGAATTTCTACTGAGATGTCCTGATATGTGTATTATAATTTCTCTGAAAGGTTTTCTCTGAAAGACGAAAGTTTGTCTATGACGTGACTATTAGGAGCAACTCAAAATTCCATGTTACACAGGACGAAGAATGCGTTCTTCGAAGTGTTAACACTTCTACGAGAATACACGAGCGTATTTCCTACAGTCACGAATATTAATCAAGTATTTTG